GAAAAACATGAGGCTGATGCTCTGAAAGAAACTTGCAGCTTGCAGGTAATTGATAAAGCCCAGTATACGGTTTATACACATCTATTAAACCCGATTTCCATACATGTCTCTGAGGCCACACGTAATGTGTATTAGGTCTATTAAAAAGTATCCATCTGTCCTCATTTTGATAAGCTTATTTTAGCCATTGTATATTTTGAATGAGGCTCTCAGTCTATTATCTGTTATTGTTATATCTCTGTGAATGAGAGCGAGCGTATTTAATAATACATTACACAAATAACCTGGTTTCCTATTTAATAGCTGCCCTCTGCCGTCAACATAGTCTCTATGCTACATGTAAATTATGCCTGGAGTCATATTAATGCCATATGTAGCCCCGGTAGTTAAAATTCCTCACACGTACTGTTGTGCTATGGTAGGCACTCTCACTGAGAAAGGCAACATTGGATTTAGATGCCGGTTACAGTTCAAGCCTGATTCTCATAATTGGTAACTTTGCGGGGGGGGGGAAGGTTTCTTCAGCCAAGCAGAGTGCAGGTTATTATTCTTCCTAACCTTATCTGCACCACACAGCTCCAAGCTGCACCTCTTGCAATTGCAGACACTCCAAAAGAGCAGGCAGCACCTGGAAATAAATTCATATTAATGCCAGGCTGGGGTGACATCAGCAATATGAACACTAGTACAGCCGCAAACAATGTAATAGTGAACTCGCCAGGATCCAGTAAAGAGTCATTACAGACAGCTGCAAATGGCCTTTGCAGTTTTTAACTACACTTGGATTTTTGTACAGACATGGATCCCTGTGATACATCTCAGCTGAGCCTAATGAGGTCATTTACAGTACAGTGCAAAAGTCTTGAGTCGCCCTGATTTATATTTTGCTTCCAAGGAGGCAGACATTCTTCTAATTGTTTTAAAGGCTTTCTGAAGTCTTTCTTTGGACATTGGCTGCTTTTTCATTTATTTTCAGTCGATTCTTTGTACATGACCATTTTCAAAGGAGTCTATTGGATTTTTTTTCTCCGTTGTTTAACCACTTAAAACTGGAAAAATGATAAGAAAGATGTGACATTTTTGCCATATACTATATTTCCACGTATATTTGCACGTTTCAATAAACTGCTGCACCCGTTTTCCATTTTCCTAGCAAAATATAAAGAGACCTTTTGCACAGCGCTGTACATGCATCATAAGTTGTTTATGCATTCAACTATTAAGATTACTGTAAATAGCACCATTAAGCTTAGATTGTTTGTTATTAGAAAGTGTCATTTTACTGTAAAACAAAACTTGTGTCATGTTTCAGGTCAGTATGCAGGAGCCGTGCAATCTAGACTGTCTTCCTCAAGTAAATGAGAGCAATCAGCTGGAAGAGGATCGCTTCCAGTGCCCTGAGTCTCCTGTGACCCCCTCAGAACAAGAAACGGAGACCTCAGGACCTCAGGATAGCTCAAGGGAAACTGGAGAGGAAGAAGAAGGAGAGAGTGATTCCTCTGGTCTTCAAGTGGAGGAGGCGAGTGTACTGACCAATGGAGAGCTCTCAGAAGAGGAAGAGGAGGAAATTTCGGGTAACGAAAGCATCCTACCTTCCTCTGTGCTAGACCAGGCGAGTGTGATAGCTGGACACTTCAGGGGCAGCCTATCTAGACGGAGCAGTGTAATGTCAGAGGACATGGGTTCACTTGTCTGCCCCTCAGAGTCCGTGGATGATGATGCCGTCCACAGCCCTTCAGCTTGCATGGATTTTGAGAAACAGACCCAAATGCTGCTCAGCTCCTCAGCAGAGCTGAAAACTAGCTCAGAGGCTAATCGGTCAGTTCCTGTGCGTGAACTTGGGCTGAATGAAGGGGAACGCAGGTCTACGCTCTCCAAACAAGATCGCCTCCTCATCCACAAAATTCGACAGTACTACGAGCACGCTGAGCACCAAGATGCTAACTTCAGCATCAGGCGCAGGGAGAGTCTGTCTTATATTCCAGCAGGTCTGGTCAGGAACTTGAGCCAACAGCTTAATGATAATCCTGCTCCTCAGGAGAGGGCCGTCCCAGCTCTTAGGAAAGGTCTCTCTCAGAACAGGCCTACATCTTGGTCTGTGTTTGACCTTCCTGGATTACAAACAAGTCAAAACACTGGAAATTATCTACCACAGAGATCAGTCGAGGCCCAGGCTAGTTGTAACAGCATTTCAGACAATTCAGGCACAGAAGAGGAATTCAGGCCTTCATCAGAAATGCTCAAGGTTTGGCAAGACATGGAAAATGAGGGACAGAGCCAGGAAGCCCAGCAGGATGCACAGGAGAAAGTTAGTGAGTCATTATTAGAAGTGGCACACCACAGCTCTGATACTTCAGATGCTAAAACCGATAAGCAACCACCTCAGGTTCTAGACGAGTCTGAAATGAGCACCGCTTCCAATACCCTCTCCACGTTGTCACCTATCCCAACTTGCCAAGCAGTGGAAGGAGGATCTGGTCAGGGCTCCGAGACCCCGGTGTTTCAAGAGATCGGTAAAGACAACCAAGGTCAACTACCTAAGATCATTAGCTTCCGAACAAGCATGGATGACGACCAGATCCTTCAAGACATGGGAAAGATGAAGAACAAGGTGTTCCAGTTGGCTCGTCAGTACAGCCAGCGCATTAAAAATAACAAACCCGTTGTCTGGCAGAGGAGCCGAGAAACTGCAAACCAGGAAGCCTTCAGGGACATGCCTGCTGTCCACGAGGAGAAGCTGCAGCTTAGAAAAAGGGGTAAATAGGATGCAAATCATTGCTCTTTTTCTTTTAAAGTACCCTAGCACTTTGACTTGTGTGCAAAGAGACCTGAAAGGCATTCTTTGTCTGTTTTCTGTGTGTATGCAGGTAAACCAAGCCTAAGATTGCCCACGAATGTTTGCAGTCAAGCAGTTATCCCTGAACTCCATTCTCCAAGTCCAGTCCTGACTCCCAGCTCTGGAGCCAGCTCCCAGAGCACAATTACCTGCCCGCAGAGCCCGGAGATGGAGACCTTCCATTGGCCTGATGTTCAGGAGCTGCGCTCCAAATACTCGGATGCATCCCACTCCTCAAAAATAACCCATAGCTGCACAGTCCTGAGTGGGATGGACAGGTGTAATGGCTGTGAACATAAATACAGTAGCTCCTCAGATCTTCGTAGGTCTGTGACAGACCCTGACACACTTCGAAAGCAATCTGAAACCACACGCAGTGACGGCTCCGTAGTAGAAGACTGGCCCCCACACCAGAAACGCTCTCGACTCTATCCCCTGCTGTGCAGGTGGAAATCTTTGGACCATATGCCTGTGTCTTTACCCCTTCATGAAGTACAGAACCTTCAGGAACCTGCCAGGACCTGCCTTAAGGTCAGCCAAGCACAAGAAGGAGATAACCTCTGTCCAGAGGGCGTAGACAGTGCAGCAAAGTCTGATCTCCTGAGTTCAGGGAAGACCTCAGAGAGCAAACTTGTGAGAAGCTTACGAGAGAAATTCCAGAACTTAAGCACAAGTTCATGAACATGTGATTTATGTACCGTATATTTTTATTAGAATTTTGAAACATTATCTGACAAATATCTCATACTTGTCCCAACACCCATATTTCATGTTAATTCTCTTAAAAGAATGCAACTTTGTGACTGTGCAGTGTTTTTACTATCGGAGACACCCTGACATGATCGCAGCACGGTGTGACACCAGAGACATATTAATGGCTATTGTCTTCTTATAAAATATGAATTACAATATTTACACACTGGGTAAATGTCTGCACAAAGTCTATGTAGAAATGTGTATAAAATCTCCTGTGTGAAATGGGAACTGGTTGTACTTTATTATATCCATGTTTTTGGTTCCCAATGTTAGTGATTCTCGCTACAGTCAGTATAGCAATATTTCTGTGTAACTGTCAGGGAAGCTCTGACTGATGTCAGCTCTGCTATTAGCACAGCCTGTGTCCAAATACCAAAGATTGCTGCCATTTTTTGTTACTTTTGTTTTTAGCAACTGATCCTAGCAGTCGTTTGCTTTGTCATTTACTGTAGCTGCTTCTAAAACGTGTGAAACATCACTGGAGCTTTAGCGTTCTCAGCAAGTTGTATATTTTCTTAAACGTTATTTATAAAACTGTATATTTGGGAAATTTTGGCCTCTTGTAAATACTAATAATGCACTGTTTCATACTCTGTTTCCCATATTTTGAATAAAAACAGAAATGTCTTTGTCAGTTATTGGTAAATGTGCGTTACTGCAGATCCATTCATACCGTGGCTGACGTGGCTTCAAAGACAGCCTTCTATTTACATCAAATAAAATTCATTTAAAGGAGAGTTGAGAGGATTTATTGTTGTGGTGTAAGGAAATGCTCTATTTCAAAAACAAAGAGCAACAGTTCTAAGCAAAAGATGATACCAATGCCATAAAGGAGGAGCTCTATGACAAAGTTTTGTCCTCAATATATGAGAACTGCTTTTAAATATCTCTAAAAAAATTATCATCATCAAATGGGAGGCCCACTCCTGTAAGGAGAGTATGCAAAGGGCCTCAGTTAGAAAAACAAATGGCTCATTTCCTGTTACTTTTCCATGTAGAGCACTGAGCTCGGTGTGACACCCAAACAACGAGGCAGTAATAGTTACTGTAACTATGTTTTAGAATAAGATCCGTGTGGAGCTGCCAGTAGCAACTATAATTGTTAATGTGGTCTCATGAGTCTGTTCATTTGTGTTGGCTAATTTCTTATTATTTTTAAATGACCGCAAAGGTCATCCCGAGCGCCGCCTCGTTTAAAAAAAAAAAAAAAAAGTTCCATCAAGTCGGACATGAACACATCGAGTTACACCGGAAATACACAAGAGAGAAACCCTCTCCATAAAGCCACCAAACCTTTGTCATATTTGCGCATCACCGAGGGTTTATTTATTTATTTTGAGCCAACCACAGCTCGCATCCTGGTCACTGACTTGACGCGGAGGAGCGGAGCTCCAGACGCGCACTGAAACCAGATGTCACCACCAGCACATTTCCTCTGGCACCGAAGTATCTAACTGTCGTTTTTCCTTTTTTTAAAAAAAAAATCTTCCTGGATTGGCATTGCCCCAAAATAGAATAAATAAAAAAAAAATCTTCTTTCCGTCTTTCATGTGAAGAATGGGCTGCGCAATATCAGGTCTCGCAGCAAAATCCGAGTTTGCAGAGAAGACTTCAGAGGATGCTGCTGCTGCCGCGTATCCCAGCGAGGACCAGATTCAGATGATTAAAGACTCGTGGAAAGTTATCCGGGACGATATAGCCAAAGTTGGGATTATTATGTTCGTCAGGTAGGACTTTTCTGATGTTTGGAGAATTTCAGGCAATTCAGAATCGAATAAAATACTAATTTAGTGAAGCGGTATGTAAGGATGGGGGTGGTGTTATAATAAATTCTTTAGTTTTATGAAGTCACACTGAGTCCTTTAAGATATTGTATTGTACTGTATTAATGGGTTGCATCACTTTGTTGTTGCTTGTTACGCAGAAGAAGGAAAAAAAAGAAGTAAAAATGTCTATTAATTTCAGTCTGATCATCCAATCAGAGCTTAATGAAACGCTGTGACCTGCAGAGGAAGGGGTCTGTAAAGTATCTTGGTGAGCTACTGTGATGATGACATGCCTGAATTCTATCTCCATCACTCCCTCCCCCGTCTCCGTGTCCCCCGGAAGCTTGGAACAGATCCCCCCCACCCACACACACACACACACACACACACACACACACACACACACACACACACACACACACCCGCGCACCTCCCTTCATATCACTCCAAATCACATCCTAATGTCATCACGTGATAGTAACAATAACATTATCAGAACTCCAGGTCTCCCATAGTACTATACAATTAAAGGCATTAGCCATCAGGCAAATTCATTTTAGCAATTAGGATGATAACTAGCTTCCGGGAAAACATCTTTAGCCCTTTGGCACTTGGCAGGGAAATGAGACAAATGAGAGGATATGGTGATGTAGACTGTCAGTCTTTAGAGTGAAGAGAGACTATTTGTGGCCAGAAGCCCAATGAAAGATGCCTGGAGTGAGTTAAAGCGATTGACCTTAAGTGTTGGCCTGAAAATACACGGGCCTCTCGTGGGCCAGGGACACCCCAGGGTACAAATGTCACCATGGCCTGCAACTCCTGATTGAACAGCAATGGTTACAATGAAACAACAAATGGGAATTGCCTGTTTGTCACTGGTGTTTTCACTTTACTCCTCAGCAAGTGAATTTTTATCTGTGAAATTTACCCAAAGTAAGGTGCATCAAAGGTGGAGTAGCATATCTGTGAACAACACAGAAATGAATGCAACGTCTGTGCAATGCCAATTAAAATTCCACTTGAGCCATTCAGAGTGCTACGTTGTCTGCATATGTTATGCATGCTTGCATGCACACTCCATGTCCACAAGAGATTAACAATGGAAGAAAATAACAAGCTGTCTATGTGTCGCCGGTGTGCTGACAGTCGTGAAATAAGAGCTTCAATTTCATCAGTGAAGCTGGCGAGCATCTCGGTATGAGTAGCGAGAAGGAAAGTGTCCCAGCTCTCTCATCGCGGATGAACTTTGCTACTGAAAAAAACAACAACACAAAAACAGTAACACTGTGCAAATATCACAGCATTGTTTCTTCAACTTTGTGCAGCTGAACTGAATGAAAAAGATACAATTACGTGCACGTTTCTCATGTGTGATGCTGTAGGTAATAAAGCGCATGGCGTACCCACATGTTGCTTAACTTGTCAGCTCTACGCATTCAGTTAAATGATAAAGACTAGAGAAACTGGAGGAAGAAACAGGGAGACATGATAGTAAGATGTGCTTTAACAGTACTTAAAAGCTCATACAAACATGCTGCTATGCATGCTTCCTCAGACCTCTGGGCATTTTGGTGAGCTTGTGTAAAGGCTAGAGAGCTATGGGTATGTTTTGCAGCATTCATTAGAGTCTCTGACACCTCTCCCAGCACCTCTAGCCATCTCTTTATCTTCCAAGGTTGTACATGTGCCCTTTTTTTTAAATCTCAGGTTTAAAAATGCAGGATTGCTTTCTTTCAAAGGGCCACAGGGAATAAAAGCAAAACAGCAAAACTGCCACACCCATCATCATTTTACATGTTATTATTTCCCATTAATCCTTAACCCAGAGTTAGAAATCAGCACCGTACATGTCCAAGTTGTCTGTGTAGCACTACAGGTAACAAATTTTCACAGTAAGCAGTGCTATTTGTGTTGTTAGCTAATAATTAAGAATTATTGTTGTTTCTCTGATAATATAATCAGCTCATAATTACTTCTGGTAATGCAGAGCTTTAACACGCTCTGAATAGTGTCTTCTTCAGAACAGGGCACATCAAACTTTACCTTAACCCACATTTTGTAGGTTTGCACAGGTATCAGCCACAATAAACACAATAAACAGTTTTTCTTTGATGAGTATCTGATATTACCTGATGTTTCATATCGGTGGAAATGTGATGCCTATCCTATCTCGTTAAGTTTTATGTGAATTAAAATCAACAGCTTCTCCCAGTCACCCTCTTTTTTTAAGCTTATATTTTCCTCCCCTGATTGTCTGACAACATTTCAGATGCCTGTCACAATGCTTTTCTTCCACGATGATGAAAACACAGAATTACCATAAGCCTTAGATCTCAGTGTGAGCACAACAGCACTCACATCCATGGGAGGCAGCTGTGTATTCTGGTAGCATGACTAATCACAGCTACCTCAGCTGGAGACTGAAAGGATCTCTGATTGGTTGGTAACATGCTTAAACATATCTGGTTAGAGAAACTGGCTTAGAGTTCAAGTCAGAAGACGCAAGCAAGGAGCAGTGGCTCATTTAATTGAGACTCTGAATCTGAGAGGGCGGCTCGCCCAGAGCCACGGGTGGAATTGAGTGTAAGGCCTAACAGGCTAACAAAGTCATGACCTGTTTCTGATTGCAAATGTTGGCTGTGAAAACCGGAAGGCGCTGACTATAAGCAGCACTAGAGTAAGATCCAAAAGGCACAATCAGATCTCTATTCAAAGTGTCTATTTTAGAGAATGACTCAAGGGTGAGAGAAAATCCTCTAATTGCCTCGCTGATGAGGTGAAATCAGCACAGCAAAAACAGGATAATAAATGTGTGACTGTCCATCTTAAAACTCTGGGGTTTATATCATCTTAACTCTGGGGGAGAGGTTTGTTTTGGTGTGGGAATGAATGTGACAGGCTGTTACACGAGTGGCTCTGAGAGGCTCACGGATGGCTGCTTGTACTTGTTGTCATGGCAAACAGGTTGTTTGAGACCCATCCTGAATGCAAGGACGTCTTTTTCCTCTTCCGAGATGTGGAGGACCTGGAGAGGTTGCGGACCAGCCGAGAACTCAGGGCGCACGGCTTGCGGTCAGTCACGGACTCTACATCCCAGCACGTCCACACACCAGCATCTCGAACAACACTGAAAAAACAGCAAATTAAACATAGCATACACACCAAAGGGGAAGACAATATCTTTCACGTAAACTCAAATTTACTGCTACTATATATATATATATATATATATATATGGTTTTATTTTTATAGTACTAGTTCACAATCACAGATATCTCAAGGCATTTTATATTGTAAGCTAAAGACCCTAAAAATATAAGAAAATTTCAACAAACTCACAGTTCTTACTTGGTGATGGTGGGGAGGAAGAACACTCTTTTAACAGGAAGAGGTTGTCTGGCAGAACCAAACTGAGGGAGGAGCATCCATCTGTTGTGACAAAAACAATCTCTGCACCCTCTGACATGCATCAGTCCTTCTTTTGATTGTGTTATAAGATTAGGTCCATTTTGATAGCCCGTTTGTAGCATCTCAACCTAGCATAGATCTGCAGTTTACTCCACTATAGCTACTCCAGCTTGCCTTATTAAACATTTTTAAACAAACAAAGGGTCATGTTGCCTCCTCTAATCTGAAGTAGCTCAAGTTTCTGGTTGTTGTCCATGTGCTTCTTTAGCCTTCTTAGAACCATTGTTAGCTTTAGCCATCTTCTGCCAACAGATGACACACTCAACCTGAAGCAACAGGTTTTATTATTTCACTCTTTCATTGTTCAGTGTCTGATAACTATCCGGTCATTAAGTGATGACATGACGAATCCTACTTCCGGGTCTAAAGTAGTTAGTAGCGTTTAATATGGCTTTTGTGTTGTTAACATGTTTAATGTTTTGTATTTTCTTCTATTTGATCTCAAAAAGCTCCTAAAACAGTCAGTGATCACTGTTGACCTCCCTCGGCTTTTATTACCGCTAATCATTTATTTAAGCTCAGTTTTTAAAACCTTAGGATGTAACTACAGCCCAGCCCATGCAGCAGTACATGAATGACTAACCTCGTATTGTGGATGGATTATCTCAGTTGTTCTCTGGCTGAAGTTTGGTCCGTTTACAGCATCCTGCCATGCGATTACATTTGTTCCTGACCACCGAGAACACTCACGGTAACTTTTATCGAGTGGGGAAAAAGTTAGCTTGTTTATATTATGCTAACATAGCTGTGTCGCTAGCGGTCACGTAGCACATCATTATATACCAGCTAGCCCAACTTCAGTAACCCTACAAACGTCCCTGCTGTTTAGTTTTCTGTCTTCATTTATGCTGGAAGTAATAGCAGAGCTGTACGTTTTAATTTGTTTCCAAAGCCCCGCAGTCAGGACATGCTATATTGTATTTACATAGAAGCTAGCGAGCTAACTCCCTGCTAACTTCTAACTCCGTTAAATGTCATAAATTCCGTTTTCATGGATGCCTGGATGTTAAACTCAATTGTTACACCTGGTAGAGCAGAACGCTGATCATTTTATTAAAGATGAAAGACTTTAGACAGTTTTTCAACTCTCAGTAATGCCATAGCGATCGTTTGATATATGGACCTGCAGCGGAGTTTAGGCCCAGACACGGCTAGTGACGTCAGACTGAACAATCGGATTGACAGGGATCCCTTTTGACCTAATTTTTTAAAGTACACACGCACACACACACACACACAAATATATATATATATATATATATATATATATATAATATATATATATATATATATATAAATATATATATATATAATATATATATATATATATATATATATATATAGGCAGCACGGTGGCACGGTGGTTATATATATATATATATATATATATATATATATATATATAGAGATAGATAGGTAGATAGATAACTATTATTGAGTAGCTACAGCATGGAGATCTTTTATGAAGCACTTCACATAAATTTGAAAGCACTCTTGAAAATACAGTCTGCAGAAATAACACTTTAGGTAATGTAGCTGAACTTGTGTTCTAGGTGAGCATTTTCAAATATAACAGTGGGATACAGCAGACTGGTAACGGTATGTGGGAAATCCCACAATAGATGACACTTATGTTATATAAAACACACCAAGTGGAAAAAAAATAGAAATCGACTGAATAGGAAATGATTCATTCATGCGGTAAAGGTTTCCGATTCCAAAAAAACAACCGCATGACTTTTCATAAATCAAATGATAAAACATCAGTGACGCGTGCATCCTTCTCTTAATATTGTTCAATCCATGTGTAGCAACAAATGGGCCTATTTCATAACTTGATTGTGCTTACCGCCTAAAAACAAATTATTTCTGTTTTTCACATATTAAAAAAAAAGCTCCCCAAAAATCTTCCAGATAGCCCCTAGGGGAAATATCCACTAGGGTCCAAGCACCCTGTGCTCTAATGGGTATTTAGGGCGGTGTGTGTGTGTGTGTGGGGGGGGGGGGACACAAACTCAAATAAATGTCCATATTTCTTGAAGTGAAAGAAACACATCACCCACATGAGGTACATTCATGTGGCAACGATCGTTTTTAGACCACAAAAGAACTTTATCACAAGACTTATGTTCTAGAATAACAAGAACAGATGATTAAACCATGTTGTGCATATCACACACCATAACAATAAACCACAGGTTATCATATAATCAGAGTGTCACTCGGTGCTTTCCAGTCCAAAGCAGAAGGAGCTCATAACATCCATCACTGGCACTTGTCGCTGTTTCCCAGCGTGCATCGTGCCTCTCTGTGTTTTTCTACACATGAGGCCAAAACACCCAATTACTGCCTGAGGACCTGAAGGTGCAGAGGGTAGCGTGGGGCTGCTGCAGCCACGGCGCAGGCGGAATTCCAGCCTGAACCAGCAGCTCATAAATTCACCGCTACAGCCAAATGGCTCTTCAGGTGCACTTGTTGGGGATCGGCACCAATGTCCAGGTTGGGCTGCGAGACAGAACTAGGAGGGAGCTAAATCAGCTCTCATCCTTTGTTCCATCTTTGAGGCTATCAAACACATATTTTACAGCAAACAGACAGACTCACACAAACAAAGAAAACTGATACTGTGTTCTTTTATGTAGAGAGATATTTGTCTTCGGGGAGGGATAAAGTATTGTGAGAGGAGCTGGTTGGCTTTCAGCTCAGAGGAACTGATAGATGCACATCGATCTTATATATTCTCATTGGCATGAGAGTCTGCAGCCTTTCAGCACAGACGAGTGTCATCTACAGTGGATGCGCATCACCTGATAGTTGCTCCCTGCTAATTCACGACTGAATGGTGGATCGATAAAGCTGAGTGTGTTTTTCAATCTGTTGCAGGGTGATGTCTTTTATTGAAAAAAGTGTGGCTAGACTGGACCAGCTGGACAGACTGGAGGCTCTGGCTCTGGAGCTGGGGAAAAGCCATTATCATTACAACGCCCCGCCTAAGTACTACAGCGTAAGGCCCCCGATGATCCCCAACAGCTTTGAGCTGCTGTTTGTTTGTGTGTGATGCTGCTTTGTTTGGAGAGGCGTACACATATTTTTTAATTTGTGCTGATGGTGTAGCGCTTTATTAGCCATTATATAACGAGACCCCTAAAGTCACAGCAGCCGAATTAGCTGACGCACATCCCCAATCTGCAAAAATGCTTTACCCACCCGCTCTTGCAAATAGCACATAACAATCCATGAGCACATTAGCATCTCACATTATTATTTTTATTTATTTATTTATTTTTTCCCAGTATGTCGGAGCAGAATTCATCTGCGCCGTGCAGCCCATCTTGAAGGAGAGGTGGACGGCCGAGCTGCAGGAGGCGTGGAAGGTAAGGAGCCTGTGACCTGTGAGTCTCTCCACCTCCCGTTCTGGTTAAATAACCTCGTGGAATAGATGTGATGGCTGCGACCATCACAGCAGCAACGCTGGTTCCTGCTCGACTCCCTTCCTTAATGCTCCGCATTATATGTCAAGATGGAGACTAATGCAACACAAGTTTGACTGATGGTAAAATCTACATCTCACTGAACCATGCAAGAGGGTGCTGAGCAAGTGGAAAGTGTTTCTGTCACGACGAGTTTTATCACTCTAAGACGTTTTTTTTTTTAAATGAAAGATTGCTGACGCTGCCCAGAGAGAAACGTTTTAACAGCTGTAAAGAAAAATCCAAATGCTTAGATCTAAAGTATAATATCCACATAAAAACTGTGCATCCTTTTCCATTTTGACCCTCTCCTGCTCTCTAGTGGCTAATGCTGGTTTGTCACACGTCAGCAAAGTTTAAAGTTCATAATCTGCTAATACATTTGCAAAACGTCAGTCAAGTCCTACCTTAACATTTTCAGAGGAATGTTTTGTATTCTGTGTGTGTGTTTCTTAAGCCACTTAATACTAACCTATGAATCATTCAAGCACAAAAAAGAAGCTTAAATTGAGGGATTTGGGGAGTGTTATGTCCACACATAACAGGTAATTTAGCAATGAACTCATTTTAAATCGTATCTTTAGGCCCTTTGTTACTAGAAGCCTGTCAAATAAAACAAACGATTTGTTCCCATGTCTTTGTCTGAATTGGCAAAGCAAAACCTTTTTAAAAATGCCAAAGATAACACCAGTTTAAAGACATGAAATGTTTTCACCAACAAGGTGATTCTCAAAGACCTTTATCTCACAGTGCAGTAAGTTTGTGAAAGTGTGTATTAAATTACACACAGAAGAGGGAACTGCTAAAACCTGATGACAAAAGCTTCACACTTCAAGGGTCAGCATGTGTGTAATGCTTATTGTTTCTGATCCAGACCATGTTCCAGTTTGTGACCAGCCTCATGAACCAGGGATACCAGGAAGAGAGCGCCCGGCAGCGCCAGCTCGCGCTATCCCCGAAGGAAAGACCGGACAAGAGAAACACAGCGCTATGAGACAGCACTTCTTTTAAACGCCACACAGACTGTTATCACCAGTACAGCACAAAAATGCAGTTTGTAAATAGCGTATTAACCGTAATGTTTTCCATCTTGCTCACGTTTGGTCCTTTAGTATTTCAACAGACAAAAACGAGCTGTGACTGTTTAGAAAGCACTTTATTTTTGAATTTAAATTCTGCTGCTGTCCTCTTGTATGAGAGCAGGACTCTGGTATCACGGTGGGACAAACACAAATGGGTGGAAACATTTTCTGGCTGCAGTCAAACATGCTTTGTGATTGTGATAAACAAAAAAAGGCATCTGAATTACAGCCAATACTCCTCTCTGTATTTATAACTCAAACATGCTTTCAGTAAATCTGCAGCTTTCAACATTTTCTGCACTATTGAACCAAATCATGACATCATTCAGACATTAGCTGAAGCTGTAATATACATATTGGTGTTAAAGTATTTAAGACAGCCAGTTTAACAGCTTGGTATCGGTATGTAAAAACAGTGACTAGAATATTAGTTGTGCCTCTAAAGACATAATAAAAAAATACAGTACATGACATTTGACCCCACCAGAAAAACAAAACAGGACATTTGGTTCTACGTGAAAACTCAAACTGACATTTAAATCCAATTTCATGAAAAAAGAAAAAAATGAAACATCTAAAACCAGCTGAATTAGAATGAGCTAGCACAACTTTTATTTTTAGCTGGCAACATAACATAAATATGCTCTAACAATTAAATAGAGTGAAGGGCTGTTAATCATCGGGCTCCAGAGGCAGCAGAACTTTTGAGAATCTGGTCCCGAAGCAGAAATGGTGGAGATGATGAATGAGAAATCCTCAGTTTTCTGTTCCAAATGGCACTGGGCAGTCAGGGATGAGATGTTATCATGCAAACAATGGCATAATATCAAAGCAGTCCGTGAATCTGAGGCCTTGAATGAATGGGAGGAAAGCAGATTGGGGGCTGCAGATCACATGGAGCCCTCTCCCACTCCCCTCAGTGCGAACCAGTTTAGGTACCCAAGGTTGTCTTAGAGTCTCTTGCTCATTGGGTGGCTTTGGTTTTCTTGCTTTTGCTTTTCTTGTCTTTCTTCTTAAGTCCATCCATATGAGCTCTGAGGAGGTTAGAGTACGCCTGAAAATGAAAGAAGTACAAATGGTGGATTTATCAAAGAGGCAAAACTTTAAGAAAAATATGGTAGTTTCAGTCTTATATGGAGATCAAAAAAGATTTTAGATGAAAACTTGCTCAACCTACCATCTGAAATTTGATAACTTCTTTGGTGCTGACCTGAAATTATAAGTGAAAAATCAGGATTAACCAGCTGTGGGGACGGCAAAGCATCTCAAAATTTAAATCTTAAAGCAACTCACCACTGTGCTAATTTTCTTCTTGCCGTCAGTCGCTCTGAGGAGACATTTGTTGTCTGCAGGTTCAAAAGACTCCGCGTGGCCCTTTCTGGGCACCGGTTTGGTTCTCCCATCATCTGGAAGAATGAAAGACTCTTATTAAAACTGCATAAATATAAATAAATACATTTTGAAACATGGAAATTCACAGCTTGGTTGTCGCTTTTAGAAAAACCCACTTACACTTCTTTAATGTGATGACAACACTGCCTGATGTTCTGCATTTCTGGAAGAGCCGTGTCAGCTCTGTGAGAAACTGGACAACAGGAGGAGAAAGAAAAAAGATGTGAAATCAAGCTAACAGTCATGCAAAGTAGTTTAAGCATGGTCAGCAAGATTATGTAAAAACTACACCGCCGAATTTCATGAAACTTGGTGAGAAGGTGAAGCATTGGTGGAGAAAGAATTAGTTTAAATTCGGTGTGGATCCAGATTATTTTATTTAAAAGTACCGATTAGAGAATTGGCCTCGATAGATGATACAGACTGCCTTACTAGTAATATTTTATGAAACCGTTAATCCTAATCGTAACAATAAGATTTTTATTACTTATTTTCACTATTGCTAATCTTACGCTAATACATAAAAGGAGACGAGAGGACAAGACATTTCAAGCATTTAATGCTACTGCACTGCTCCACAAAACTGCAACAGTTTAGCTAAGTGTAATCCAATTTAACAAGTGGCAGCTGGAGATAATGTTAACAACACCTGGCTGAGAACCTACTGATTTCGGTTAGCTCCGTTTTGACCTGAACAATCAAATTATGCCAGAAAGTACAACTTTAAAGTCTAAGACCAGTCTTAGCTTCAGAGCTAACTGCTAATCTCAGTCTGCCTACTGGCGTGTCTAACATTGTGGCTATTAGCAAGCTAGCTTTACGACAGCTAAAGAATACAATGTCTGCTTCTATCGCATAGTCAACAACAGGCCGAGTTATTAACGAGGTATATTTGCTCTTACCGAATCATTTTCCAACAGCACCATGTCTCTGACTTCAGTTGTGGTGTTAACTCACTAACCGCAAGATAACTGCTGTGAAGCACACGTAGCCTACTGCACAAGCCGAAGCCCCGCCCTGCGACCTCATGACCTGTGCGCGATAGCTTTACCTCACACTGCCGCCTACTGTTCGGGAGGGCAAAAACAAGCAATGACACACTTGTTTTGTAAGAAGTTTTAAAGCAGGGCTGCCCAATCCCAGTCCTCGAGAGCTACTATCCTGCAGCTTTTAGATGCATCCCTACTCCAACACAGCTGAATCAAATGAATGGCTTGTTATCAGGCCTTTGCCAAACACGATGGCATGCTGAAGAGGTAACCAAACCATTTGATTCAGCTGTGTTGGAGTAGGGATGCATCTAAAAGCTGCAGGACGGTAGCTCTCAAGGACTGGGATTGGGCACCCCTGTTTTAAAGGAAACATTTGTACATTAATATCCATAAATTCCGCCGTCAGCTGATAAATGGTAAATGACCTGTATAGGGACTAGTAAAGCGCTATATAAATACAGCGCTTTACTAGTCCCTAAGGACCCCAAAGCGCTTTACATATCCAGTCATCCACACACTGGTGATGGCAGCTACATTGTAGCCACAGCCACCCTGGGGCGCACTGACAGAGGCGAGGCTGCCGGACACTGGCGCCATCAGGCCCTCTGACCACCACCAGTAGGCAACGGGTGAAGTGTCTCGCCCAAGGACACAACGACCGAGACTGTCCAAGCCGGGGCTCGAACCGGCAACCTTCCGATTACAAGGCGAACTCCCAACTCTTGAGCCACGATCGCCCGATACAGATACAGAGGTAGTGTGTGACATTGTTCTCTCAACTATAGCTAGCCTGCAAAACAAATGACTATGTTTGTTGTACAGAGGTCACTGAAAGAAGAAGAGAGAAAAAGCTCACCCAAAACACCAATCTTACTTTACATATTTCTGAATGATCAGGCTCGATCATATTTTAAGACCTCACAGTCGCATATGATCCCAATAGACCACTGCCTTCTCAGACTCCAGGCTTACTTGTGTTTTTCTCGGGTTTCCAAAAGCAAATTGCAAAGAAGAGCTTTCAGCTGTCAGGATGTTGTGCTGTTGGGAAACCTTAGTTTGGATTCAGGAGACAGGAACACTCTCTTTTTTATGATTAGGCTTAACACCAACTTTTAATGACTTTTACAGTTAGAGTTGGATCAGGTGTCCCTCAATTATGTTGTTATAGACTCAGGCAACTGGGGACCTCCCCAAGATAGCCTTGGCATTCTCCCCACCATACTTTGTTTTTTGTTTGTCTATCTATGCTCTCGTTCTTCTCTTCTCTTTCCCTTGAATCCCCAACAGGTCACTGTAGATGACGGTGTCTTCCTGAACCTGGCTAACTGACAAAGGTGTCTTCTTGTTAAAGGGGAGTTCCTCCTCCCCACTTTTCCCAAAAGCTCTTCATGGTGCATCGTCTGATTGTTTGAGTTTTCTCTCTAATCTATGGTGTCCTTACCTTACACTATGGTTCACGAAGTTAAAGCATCTCAAAGCGACTGTTGTGAACTGACACTATAAAAAAAGTCTAAAGATCAGATTCTTTTTCTTCCCACCATATCTTTATTACACTGTTCTTTATGCAAAACAGATCAGCAGTCCAAGCGGTACCCCACAGGAAGCTGCTGTATAGTGTGAGATCTCACCCCATCTGACAGCATCTCCAACACTTGGGTGGAAACATATACAAAGACCAACACAAACAAAAGTACAAAAATCTACCAACAAACTGAACAATTGCAGACACAAACAAACAGAGGACATCCATGCAACATATCAGAAACAAAGATGAGGTTCTTATTGCACAGCTGCAGCTTCCACTGCCCTTGCCTGTAACTCCAGGATTGTGCTGGCGCATTCAACCAATATTCCTGTGCTGGCAAAAGTTGGTGGATTTCTCAGCCTTTCTTTGATGACTTTCCCCATCAAACCTGCGCTTATCTGATCAGACCAGCAGGTGTAAGCATGGCCTTGTAGTGCTGTGCTGGTCAGTGTTACTTAGATACTGCAGCCACAGGTACACAAAAGTCTCATGCATGTTTACATATTTAACCATGACATTAAAATGCACTCAATGGTTGATATTCATTAATCATGCTTTAAAACAATCAGCTCAGCAGTGAATGATCACACTGCGCCTGAAAGAACATTGTAAATCTGACTGCACATGTACTAAAACATGTTCAGTCAGAACTGTAGCATGACACATTTAGTAGGTTAATTAACATATGTGACAGTTGTATTAAAAATATCGTTCCTGACAAAAAGGTCATAAAAACAGCAGAATACTGTGTCCCAACTGGGATTTGAATGTCATGAAATGCACTTAAGATTCATAAAAGAGCTTCAGTCATCTCGATAGTGAACAGTCTGGGTGGTGTCCCAGGTCATCGAGGAGCACAGCAAACTCTGAATACCAGTCTCTGTTAAATACTGCCTTGAGCTGACTGTACAGGGTCGTATTCTTCATTTCAGGTTGAGATGCATGCTGGGACACCACCAGGCCCACTCCAGCGGTGGTAAGAAAGTAGTCTCCTGACCAGTTAGAGGTACCTGGGTAGCAGCAGAGCATAAACCTGGTCAGAGATTCCATCAACTTACTTAGAGCAACGACACATTTGTAGAATAACTGTGTTTCTCACCGATATAAGCTACTTTATCAGTCACCATGTATTTGTTGTGGTTGACTCTGGAAAATGGAATATCGGACTGGTTTGCCACTGGGACGATGTAGAGTTTCTGAAAAAAGAAAGGAGCGTAAACACAATTTTTTTTTAAAATAGTGGCAATCATCTTCAGGAGTTTCATGTATCCCATGTTGCGTCTTACTATCTGGATGCTGATATGCTGCTGAGGAGAGTCGAGTGAGGCTAGAGACTGAAGAAAAGGCAACATGTCTGGATCAGAATCCCGCCCGCAGCTGATCAGCATCCTGATTTGCACTTTCCTCTCGAACGCGGCCGTCTTGATGGCATCCTCGATGACCGGCCAGTATCTGCTGAGTGAAAGCCGAGGATTTCAGAGTGAGGAAAACAGAGGAAAACGATGTGGATCATTAATGTGGAGTATTTTCTGTAAAGGGTTAAGTTAACCTCCGAGGCCTGTCAAAGCGCGTGGTGGGGAAGTACTCCATGACAGCTACATCAACATAGTGTTGAGCCCCATAGATGATGGAGAGAATAGCATCCAGGTCCTGAGTCCTCGATGGAGGACAGAAGGATGGAGGAGAAGCCTGGAGTGAAACACAAGAAATCAACAGGAGCACTTGATTCATAACCACAGGTTTTAAGTATGTTTTTGTAGACATAGCTGCAGAGTACAACCCTTTCTCTATTAATGATAAAGAAAACCTAACAGTATCCTTTAAAAAGGAACTGAAACCTAATGAACTTACTGCCACATACAGCCGGGTGGAGATGTTATTCTCTTTCACCAGCAGGGGGTGTTGTTTGTTGATGTCTGTGTTATAGTTTGCAGGCCAAGGCTGTGGCAAGGAGCTGTTGGGTTGACCCATCACCCAGTAGGACTGGAAGATTTTACGAAGGTCCTTCGCAAGACTGGAGCAGTTGTAGATCACAACTCCTAGTTCCTTCACCTGCAGTTAAAAGTAACTCTTTAAATTGTTTAGCAGCGTTTCTAAAGGTTCAAAATAGCAAAGTACCTTTGATTGTCTAATGTGAGCGTTCACCTGTGTTAAAGCCCTCCAGTCCATGTTGGCGCTTCCAATAAACACGTGTTTCCTATCGACAATCCAGAACTTGCTGTGAAGAACGCCGTTTGCAAGGCGGCCAAAGTCCACCTTTCTCACATGAACTCCTGCAGGCAGGAAGAAAAAGACAAGGGTCAAGGTCAAGCTGGTGCAAAGAGTTGGTGGCCTACAAGACTTTGTTGAAGAGAAAGCAAACCTTTTTGTTTTAAGATCTGTAAATCGGTGGAGTTTGTTCTGACGGTGGGAACACTCGTTATCACTCGGACAGTCACATTCCTCGAAGGAAGCTCTTCAAGCTCTTTCAGGATGTTCCTTCCCTGCCAAGGACACAATGAAAACATTAGAAGAAAAAAGTTTGTAGGGATGTTTTAATGAGGAACACAACTATCCACTGCAGCTGGTAACTCACGGGCATATCAGAGGAAGAGTTGACACTGATGTCTTCCCCAGTTAACGTCCAGTAGAAAGAGACCACATCCACTTCGTTTGTTGCCACTGAGATGAGATTGTTCCAGACTTGTTCAAGAGGGATCCCAAATGTTACGTTGCCTTTGTATTTCATATGTTCGGGAATGCTCTCCACAAGGGCCATGCTGCAGGATTTAAAAAAAAAGACATCTGCTCAGGGAATTCTTTGGAAGTTGAAGTGGAAAAAATTGAAAAAAGTAACTTTTAATCTTTAAGTCTACAGATGTGGAGTTGTAGACTCATCCAAAGCTTTAACTGACATCTATGAGGTGCTTTTACCCCTTTTAAGGGGTATTACAGCTTCCCTTTAACCTCTATATCCTTAAAAACAGTCAAAGTTGATGTTTTGTAGAGTCAAAATATTACTGCAAATGAACTTAAAACAAACACTTGCTTCTACTAGCAAAATGATTTTGAGGGTTACCAGGAGAAAGGCTCTTTTCTCCAAAAATATCTCGATGGCTTAGGTTTGCAAAGTTGCATCTGAACAGACAACAAGAGTTTTGGAACAATTTCCTTTGGACAGACTAGAGCAAAGTGGAGATGTTTGCCAAAAACCAAACACAGCACAGCAGCACAAACACCTCATATCAACTATCAACCGCGGGGGAGGACAGGTGATGGTTTGGGCTTGTTTTGCAGACCTGCACCTTGGTGGCATCGAGTCAAAAGAATCCAGATGCTGAAATGGCACAAAGTCCAGACCTCAACCTGACTGAAATGCTATGGGGGGCTTTAAGAGAGGTGTGCAAAAATGAATGCCAGCAAACCTCAATGAAGCAAAACAAAGGAGTTAATCAAAAACAATGTGAAAGACAGTCACACAAAAAATGATTACATCAAGTACTTCTATGCATTTTTTTTTTTTTGAACGTTTTACCAACTTTCTACAAACCTTAAAAGAAACCTGACGTTTGATGGCAACATCCCCTGAGAATAAGTGACTTCACCTGGTTAGCTAGTCACATAGCTTCACAGCCTTTATTGTAACAAAGAACTTCCTTTTCTTTGTGGCAGCTTCAGTGACATTCCAGTGAAGCAGCTTTTACCTTTGTGGGCATAAAACCGCGGTAAAGTGAGCCGTCATTTGTGAGCCGCGGTCAAGCCAGCCGCCTCCTATCCGCCGCATAAATTTCCTTGCGCTTTTACACCAGTCTTTACGGTAGCGCCTTTTCGCTTTATATCCCACGCGCACGCGCGCACACAAATTACAATGGAACAGCCCAATACAGTCAATACAATTATGGAAATTTCAGAAATTCATTAAAAATCATCCTGAATAGTTGAGGTCCAACTTTCAACAGATTCCTTCTCTGGGACACCTACTGTACCTGTGTGCCAAGTTCCATCCAGATTTACTGTAAAATTCCTCAGAAAATAAAGGAAACTTATATTCAATCTAATACAGCCAATACACTACAATTATGTCAATTTTCAAAAATTGATTAAAAATCATCCTGAGTACACTCTAAGAAATGAAACATGGGGTTTTTAAAAATTAATTCTTAGTTTTATGTTCAATATACTTAAAATTGTTAATCTTATGGGTGTAATTAATATTTTTAAATTTGATTTAATTAATTCTATACCGTTTTAATGTTAAATAATATTGATATTTCCAATTTATTGAACACATTTAATTAAATCCAAAGAGCCCTTTCCACATCCTTTCTGAGCATGCGCAGAGAATGAAAAAAATCTTCGCGCATACGCATTGACCTTCTTCACCTACGCCACAGTGTGCTTTGGCCACGTGTCTGGAAAGAGGGATTAATCACGATTCATCCGTTGGAGTTAAGGTAATTTCTTCCTATTTTTAATAGAATATAATTTAACTAGTACTTTGTGATAATATATGGCGTATATTTTTCCGGTAAATATGTGGGCAGTATGTGTTCTGTAGGTTGTAGCATTTTGCTAGCATTGGAAACATTCATTTGCATATTCGATATTACTGCACATCTGAATATTGTCCCATCTGCGTTTAAAATTTCATTCGAACTCCGAATAGCACACTTATTTTATTTGTTTTATTGCACTATCAAGTTAGGAGAACGTTAGCCCGAACAAGAATTGGGATACATGTGCAGTGATTGTTGAGGACTCGTCTGTTTCACTGAAGAGAACCGCTAGCTGCGTAGTTTGCATATCTTCGCGCATCAAGTCTCAAAGAGACCTCTGAAGGTGACCCCCACTTGCCCCCAAAATTAAGTATACTGGGTGGTTAGTGCTCCGTTTGTTTGCTACGGTGTCAAAGATATTGCACTTTTATTTAATAGGTCATTGAGAGTTGAAGAGCCCCCTCCCAGCAAAACGACAACAGCCAAAAATAGGCCAAAACATGCCAAAAAATGCTCTGCTTGGTTAGTGCTTGTTTGTGCCGTTAAAATTAACATTTGTGCTGCTAAGGTTAACCAGTTACTAATGTTTTACTTTTTCGCGGTGACGTCAAGGGCGTCAAGCACGCGCCCCGTGCTTACGGGCGCGAGTGAGCGTCCGGGTGATGTAGGCGTCGTAGAAAACGCTCGCTCGCGCCCGAGCATTTTGTGGCATGTTTTGACCTATTTTGGGCCATTTTCGTGTTGCTTGGGGGGGGTGAACTCTGAATGACCTATTAAATAAAAGTGTAATATCTTTGACACCTAGCGATACAAACGATGATTTTACCAGCACAAACCGACAAACGGAGCACTAACCACCCAGTATACTTGATTTCATTTTTGGGGGCAAGTGGGGGTCACGTTCACAGACTGGGCTGCTCCGGTATATAATGGTAAACGTGCTCACAGGAACAGATTTATGAAATGAGTAATAGAAATTTTGGAGCATTTGAAATTTAACTTGTATTATTAATACATTTTAAAAGAAACAGGATTGTTCTTAAGTTTAGACCATCTCTGTGCTACCCCTTTGCATGTGTCTCACTGTACACGATTCATTTTTTCTGGTTTTCTTTTTCTCTCAGGTTGCTGGTTGTGGAATTTGGAGCTGCGGAGATTTGAGCTGTGCTCCAAAAGTGCATGTTGAAGGTACCTAATGCTTTCATATTATTTACTTTTTCCTTAATACGCAATTTTACATTTTGAATTCTCTTATTTGGTCTTTTAGGTTATCACCACAGTTCCACTGCTGTCCACATTCATGAGCAGTCTTGACCAGTACTCTGACCAGTTGATGAAGATTCTACGAAAAAAAGGAGGGGAAACAGCGCGGCGGATCACAGCAGCATTGTCTACAATTCACAGGTATTCTGTCTTGTTATAATGTTCTGTAACTAATAGATTAGTTGCAGGTTGATCTCAGGTCTGGTTATTAACCTGTATTTTTAACTTTCTTGGGTCATTTTATGCTTGTTCTCTCCTGCGTTATACTTCTCATCTCGCTTTTGGCTTATATTCTGGACTTGGTCCTGACACAAAGCAGAACTAAGTAACTCATGCCCCTAGAGGCCATAAGTGCCGCTGTTGGCATTGTAGCTTTTTTCTTTTCTTTTTTTTGTTACTCATTAATTGTCCAAAGGAATAATTAGCTACACTGAGAAAAGACAAAGGCAGACAACATTTCACATTTCGCCACAACTCAGTGACACAATAGATTATTTTTTTTCACTCAAACTTGGTATAAATACTGCAAATGTGGTGGTAGCCCGCATACCTCATATTAACGTGACAGTGTGTAGTTTTTGTCATTAATTTTTGGAAATCTCTATCAAAATGTTTTTGATTCCTTTGAACAGCACTCCTATGCAACAACACTTTTCGGGTGGTACACCACGCTAAAGCTGCATTTTCCGCGACCCAATGTATCGCAATCAGTGTAATTGGACTCATAACTTATAATCTTTATGGGAATGAATTGGTAAGCTTCTCATTCTCTAACACAAAATACTACTTGCTTGCAAAAAGCATGTTTAAAATTACTTAGAAACAATTATGAATTGGTTAAACAACAATAAAAATTGACTTAAGTTCTGTGGGGGTCTCTAAAAACTTCAAAAAAGTAATTGCCATGCATGTGTTGTTTTGTTTAGAGTTCCCGAATCGAAGTGAAGCGTGAATGCATCCTTAAAGCTGTGATTATATACCTGAATGAGAACCCTGAAAATCTCATCAGTAAGTTTATTTTTAAAGGGATATTCCACCCCTCAGTAAAATTTTGACTGTCATAATTCCCAGAGTTTTGTAAGTTGAAAAATGTATTTTCTAAACAAGCCCAGGCATTCTCCTGATCTGGCAGCAATCAGTTTTCTTTAAATTAGCTTACAACAATAAAGTGCATGGGAAATACTAGGATTTTGTTTCCATTCACTTACATTGTTTTATGCAAAACTAAAGAAAATGACCCTGGTCAGCAGAATATTGATAATATTATTAATGTATACTCCTTCTGCCCTCTGTCCATGTTTCATGTATCTTCTTCTTGGTCTTTATTTGGTGATAGTCTTAAATCCACATTTTTCTTTGGTCTGTTCTCCTCAGTCTCATTCAGGGATCTGTGTAATTAGGATAGTGTGGACCATTTGAACTAAAATGGAGTGAATAGATAGATGATGCAATGACCAAAATACAACAGATTTAAAATATATCTGTCCTTTTCAGGATTTCAACGTGATGGAAGCTGAAGAGCTTGAGAGGATGGATTTGGCGTGTTTATAAAATAATCCATGAAGGAGCACAGCCTGATGACTCCCTTGAAGATGTTGGCATCATTATCGAGAGATGCACCGTCTTGCAGGATCTTCACGATGTGGCGAGCGGGTGTGCACTTTTGTTTGGGCTAATTTACTGCCTCAATCTGAGTTACCCAAAGCCACGTCGCTACACATTTGAGTTCTTCCAGAAGGTGCTCATGGGACTGGAAGACAAAAAACTGTCTAACAAAATACAAGTGCTGAAGAACAAACTCTGCCAAAAGGAGACGCAATGACTCTTGTAGATCGAAATGTCTCCGAAAATAAGTGCTCTGTTTCACTGTTTAAAAGTTCATAAATATATATATATGTTGATCTTTGTTTGTAAATATTTTGTCATAGCTTTAATATTTAAGAGATTTACCGAATGCTTTTTTTTCTTTTGATTGTGGAAAAGAAAACATAATTCAGAAACTGAGTTTTTTGAACTGGGGACAAAATTACGCAGATGGATATATTTCCTTGTTTCACAACATTTTCTTCAGTTTGAGTTGCTGCTTCTGCAGACTGTAGCCATTACAGACCTACAACTGTAGATCCTGAAATCATCCTACTCCTCACTACACTGTCACTTAGTTGAAACTGGAAAGTTGTTTCAGATGTTTACATTTTATTTTACACACTTCATTTAATGTTGCATTATGCAGTGTTGTTTCCCTGTTTAAGCTTTGCCTCGTTGAAGGCTTTTGTTCAAGTTGTTAAAGCAACACAATTTTTTTTTGTATTTACACTTCATATTAGTTCGTGTACCAGGTTTCCATTGTAGGTCAAGGATCTTGAGTGTTATAAATGTTAAAGTGTATGTGCAAACAAATGTGAAAAGGTTCTAAGGTTGTCACCTGTACTCAAGTTAAGTGCTGGATTTTTGGTCTTAGTATTTAATTAAGAATATTTTGAGATTTGCTATATGCATTTTTTTTTATTGTAAAATTTATTATATAATAGAAAACTTATAATTCTGAATCAGATTTTTGTAACTGGGGACTAAATCGTTTTTACCTTTTTGTGTCACTTAAATATTTTCTGTAATTGCATTATACAGTGATTTTTAAGTTGCTGTGGTAAATCTGCAGATCTGACTATAATCACAAGTTGTATTGAATTTGACATCTTACGGCACACTACAATGTCACTTTGTTGAAACTCGGAAAGTTGTTTCCAATGTTTAAATTTTGGTCAGGCCCTTTAAGCATTTAATATTGCCTTATGCAGTGTTCCCTGTAGAAGCTTTGCCTTGTTAAGGCTCACCGTAAATAAAGTTGTTGATGCAGCACCCTTTTTTTGCATTTACACTTTATGTAAGCTTTGGTGTAAGAGTTTTCTATTGAAGTGCAAGGATCTTGAATGTTATAAATGGTAACCTGTGAGCAAGTGTAAAAAGGTTTTTGAGTTGTCACCTGTACTCTGTAGTTAAGTGTTAGACCTTTGCTGAAGACCTCTGAAAGGTCCAAACACCTAATTACAATGTATAGATGACAACTCAGGAACCTTTCTAGACTTGTTTTGTTGATACCTAAACATTTAGCATATAGATGAAACTATTAATTAAATCATAATTAATCAAATTAATTAGGTCCAAAACGCAATCTAAATGGTGCCATTAAATTCAAATTAATATTGTCAATTGAACCTAAAGCAATACAGTTAATAAAATGAACAAAGTGTTTAAATTCTATTTAATGGTGTTAAATAGTAACAATGAAAGGAAAGCTGTTGCTTTTATAGAACAATTTCACTTCTGATATACATCGCCATTGAAATTGCAGATAATAACCATATTGATTTATGTTTAATTGACCAGGTTTTGTGAAAAAAAATATTTTTCAATTTGTTTCAGTTTTTAAAAATATGTTCTTAAAGATTACCGCAAGGTTTAGAATGGAATATGTTTTACTTACTATACAGCGGATGAGATGATGTAATTTAAAAGCAGTTAGGGGAGAATTAGAAGAACGTAACAAAGTATCGCCAAATTAAAAGTACTAACTAATAACAGCAAAAACAAGAATTACATACACTGATCAATAGTAATCTTAATCAACAAATACCAAAACTAATGCAAAAAGGGTTGGGTCACAAACCCAAACTGCGAGAATCACATTATTTTCTAAACTTAGTGTAATTTTTTAGAAAAGGTATTAAAATGAAAAAGAATGCAATACAAAATCTAAACGAACAAGCTCTATTTACATTTCTGAAATACATAACCTACATATGTACAGAAAAATCAGAATCGGAGAAGCTTTATTAATTTGACGGTGAAATTGAATACAAGTTTCCTGTAATTTCTGTGGAATATTACAGTGAATCTGGCTGAAACTTGGCACACAGGTACAGTAGGTGTCCAGAGAAGGAATCTGTTGAAAGTTGGACCTCAACTACTATGGATGATTTTTAATGAATTTCTGAAATTTCCATAATTGTAGTGTATTGGCTGTATTGAATTGCATATAAATGTCCTTTATTTTCTGAGGAATTTTACAGTAAATCTGGATGGAACTTGGCACACAGGTACAGTAGGTGTCCCAGAGGAGGGATGTGTTGAAAGTTGGACCTCAACTATTCAGGATGATTTTTAATGAATTTTTGAAATAAACATGATTGTAGTGTATTGACTGTATTGCACTGAATATGAGTTTACTGTGATTTCTGAGTAATATTACAGTAAATCTGGGTAAAAACTGGCCCAGAGGTAAAGTAGGTGTCCGAGAAGAGGATTGTGTTGAAAGCTTGGCATCAACTTTTAAGAATGATTTTTTGAATATGCAACCAGACTGTCACGATGGCTGTATTGGGCTGTTCCATTGTAATTTGTGTGTGCGCGCGCGCGGGTCTAGGCTTTCAATCAGGATATAAAGCGAAAAGGCGCTACCGTAAAGACTGGTGTAAAAGCGCAAGGAAATTTATGCGGCGGATAGGAGGCGGCTGGCTTGACCGCGGCTCACAAATGACGGCTCACTTTACCGCGGTGGAATAAAATAGTCTGCAGGTGATACAAGATCGCAGTCTGTCCTATTTTATTTTCCACATCTAAAATTAGGTTACAGTCAAATTCCAGTGAAGTGTCTGTGCTGCAGTGTTTAACTTTGCAAGCTAGAGCCAATCAAACCGTGGGTCAGGCTGATAAGGAATAACGTCCAGTCCCACATAAAGAGGAACACCTGGCCACTCAGCCTCCTCCTCCTTATATTTATTACACATAAAGAGGAAACTGTGGTAGATTTTGCGCGTTAAAAAAATAATCAGAGAATGAGGCCAAATAAAGTTTAAAAACGCACCACTTTACAAACACGGCGAAATCACGACTTGATTCCGAAACAGTGAGCAAATGTGGACATGTTTCTTCAAGCCGTGCAGCAGATAGTTAAGAAGATCGTGATGTAATTACTGGATTATTACCTGCACTGATCAGTAGAGAAATTGCTCCAGCCGTCGTCACCTGGGAGTATCTCGTGGTTTTTGGGAGGTGGAGGTCTCTCCAGCACGATGATGGCGAGCAAAACTCCCAAAATAGTCAGACATGCCACAATCGCAAGTAGCTTCACGCAGCTGGTCTAAGAAGGTGAGGTTTGAGAGGAAGAGAGCTTTAAGAGTAAGAAAGGTCACAGTTTGCTTTTTAATGTTTGATGCTGCCCTACCCTTTTGTTTGAATCGTTACTGTCATCAAGGCTGCTATACGAGGAGGTCATTTTCCCCTTTCAAGTGCTGTTAGAGACCAAAAGCAGGAAGTTACCGTGTCGGACAGAAGATAAACAAATTAGAGAGCTCACATCTGTGATAAGAACCAAATCATCTTCATTTCTGCAATTATTCCAGATGGTTTTCATTTTGGAATTGGATTCATTTTTAAAGTAATGAAAAGAAACTTACAGATTGAACTCTTTAAAAGTTTCTTCTAAGCCAACTTGATTGTTTTCTTCCTCCAAACTTCCCCCCAAATATGAGCAGAAGTGAATTCTGATGCTGAATATATCACAACATAGTTCCCATTTTCAGTTTCGTTTCAGGTTTTTTAGGTAGTTCTGTAGCATGGGGAGGGGTAGAGTGTAACAAGAGATAACAGATGACAAAAAGCAAAACAGGTTTACTAATCACATTTATTTGGAAAAAAACAAAACATATCTGACATCTTACACAAATAACCAAACATAAATAACAGCTATCAAATTACAACCAAATCATTTGGGTAGGGAAGGAATGGAAACAGAAACTGAAGATCCAAAACAGGGGACAGAAATTTGATACACACATTTTAAATCTTCAGCGGACCGTGTCGGACTAAAGCTAAGTGGAAATACTATCCCACAGAAGATGAATAGCAGCAACGGGTTGAGAATGACAAGAAGAAAAACATTCAAATTTTGCTGGAGTCTGTAAACAACCACTGTACTCGCCCGCATGAAACTTTATCCCATGCAGCTAATGTGGCACTTTTGTAGGTACTTCCCAGTTACAATCACATGCATGGTCCAGACTAGGAAGAGGGAAACTGAGAAGCTTGCCGGAGTTCCCTGCTTCGGCCTCCTGTGTCAGCATCGGATTCTTACAATCTTTCACCGGAGAGTCAAAGCTTTCAGTTTGCAGCGTATCGGCTTAAAGAGGGATGACGCTGTACTACCTCAGTGCAAAAAGACGAGATTGAGAGGTAACCTGTAGGACGTGTAGACGATCTTTAGACATTTACACACACGTTAACAAATCAGCTGCTATCATCAAAATTTTTTAACAATTTCATACAATTTACTTGGTCATAAATAACATTACATCTCTCACGACTCGAAGGGCCGAGGTGTCGTGCAGAAACAGATAAAGACGACACATTTCTCGTCCTTGAAATCGTGTTCGTCTTTGGACAAACCTTGGAGCCAAATTTTGCTTGAGGCGTGGAAAACAATCCAAAGCTCCCAAAGTGTTTGACACAAATATAAAAATAAGAAATTTTACAAAAGTTAGAAGGGCTGGGAATACTCTAAAGCTGCAGCCAGAGTTTGTGATTGCTTGCTGATTTACTTATAGAGCACACCCGTTCCTCCATTTAGATTGCACACTCCTGAAGTGGATTTTTTTCACCCTCTGTTGGACAAAAGCGTAGTGCCGACGAGGGAAATAGTACCAGCGTGCACACAAAATTGGCTTGTAGCGATTGCGTAATAGTAACAAACTATTCTGGCACAAAAGGCGACTAACTCGTACCTACAGCCGTGCTGTGTCAGTTACAAAATACCAGTGTCTCAGGAAAAAATCCCCTAAAAAATGCATTTTCATTCTACCCCACAAAGAGGAAGGAGGCAAACAAAAAACAATAAGCGTGGGGAGTTACTGAGGATGGAGCACACAGCATATCAGCATGTGCGAGTATTAACTTTAGTTCTTGCTATTATAAAAATAAAATACTTCCTCAATGATGATTTGTCACTAAACACACATGTTTGACGTATCTGAAGACTTCCCTGGGATGATTATGTTCAGGCTTGTTTTTCTCTGGGCAGCTAATTATGATGATCTTTTATTAAAGAAAAAAAAAAGTGCTGGTGATAACAACATTGGCAAATAATGACGACTATCTGTAAACACACACAATCAAGTATAGCTTTGTGGTCTCTCTCAGTGTGTTACATCCTTACACAGGTGGGTGTGCTTATAGTGCAGTAGTGTGTGTGTTTGTGTGTGCAGGAGGATGCACTTCTGTGAACAAAGTCTCACTTCCCTCCTTTGGGTTTCCTTTGTGCGCACAGAGGTCTGGCACCTGGCTGTTTGGAGTGGACTGGCTGGACCTGCGTGTTTGTGCCAGATCTCAGACTAAATATCCCTCTCTGACATCGTCTGGGGTCGCAGCCGCTCTCCTGATCCTCTCGCTGGGCCTCGGGCCACCGCCACGCTTGAAAATGGAGTGCACCGTTCTCCAGTCTCGTGAGGAAGAATGCTTGCTAGTGTGAACTCCAGATGAGGAGGAGACTGCAGTGGCTGAGGTCTTGGTAGCTCCAGGCTGCCAGCTGGGCTCCATGACTGTGTTAATGACTAAATATTAAAAAAAAATAATTGAAATTAGTCATCAGCCACAAGAAAATTATTTTAAAATTATTTCCATTTAAATAGTTTCTAAAGGGTCTGAATGACTCACCTTCGAGTTGTCTCTGAACTCTCCTGAGTTCTTTCAAGATAGATGAGATTTCCTGAAACACAGACGTCTAACTTGGCTCAAACATGCAGTGTTTACCAGCATGTGTTTATCCTGTCATTCAACC